CACCAGCGCGCGGCAGACTCCGCCGACTCCATCCCAACGAGGTCCTCACCTTCGGCGGGGAAGAGGGCTGCACGTCCCGAGGATTGCGGCGTTGCATGGCGAGGCGGGAGAGGGAGGGGGGGGGACGATGGAGAACCCGCCCAGCGTCCGCCGACAAATATCGTCGCGTCCGTCTCCGCTGCGAAAGAAACAGGGAGTTTAATAAGCACGCCGGGGGCGAAGGGGGGTGAACGGAACGCGGCGAGAGGGAAAGCAGAATTTGGACCCCGAGTTCCTAGCATCGGTCCTTGACTGGACCGATGCCGGTCATGGCCAATCGACAGTCTTCGTGCGCCGCAAAGAGCGGCAAGCCGGTAGTCGTAATCAGCCGCAATGTCGGTGGATAATAAACGCGACGCGGAGGTTCGATTACCTGATCGGCCGATGCGACCCCCGAGTATCAGAAATTCCTCTTCGGCTGGAAGCCTCGCGAATCGCGCGACGTCCCGCGCGGAGCTCGGGAGGTAAATTTATGCGCGTATACGCGTCTCACCCTCTCGCGCTTGGACCGCGCGCGCCTCGCTGCCGCGTACTCGCCACCTCGCGCATTTCGTCGCGCCGGCTTATGCACACGTAGACGCGAGCCGCGAAATCGTAACTGCGTCGGCGAGATATTCGATACGCGCCGGTAAATCTTGCGTGGAAAGTCGCGAATCGCGTAAGGCGCGGAGCGAGGGACGACGGGAATTGTTGCCGAATGGCGGCGCATCGTCGAGCGCCGAAACCGCGAGCGAGGCGCCGTTGATCGTCGCGAAATTTACGATTCACGTCGCGGACTGCGGAACCTACGATTCGACCGCGGGCACGGTATCTCGAGGCGCGACGAAAAACGCGCGCGAACTTCGTTAAGCGACTCGAGAAAAGCAACGCGAGAAACGCCCGCCCAAAACGTCCCCGTTGGCCGCGTCGCACTCGGCCTATTCTCGAACGGTACCGAAAACCGCACTGGTGGCGCCATCTCGGAGCGGCAGGTTGTACTTTTTCCGCAGTCGGTATCGAGCGTCGTTACCCTGCGTCAATATAATTTCGTACTTGCCGACACGTTTTATCTGTATATCGCAATTACGCAAGAATCCAAGGATATTTTCCGACTTGCCGAATTACGGGACGAAATCTTTCCATTTCTGTTCTAAAAACAGCTTTGCCTGCGCGACATGAATTCTGAGCTCTCTTTCGGACGCAACGAAAGGGATTCTTTTATTCAGAACAGCTTCAAGTTGCATGAGAAATATATTCTGTGGAGTCCTTTTTCGGACCACCAGAAGAAACCTGTTTCGAGTTCATTTACAGACTACGCTAATTGGCTAAGGTCCAGTTTCACAAACGTCGGTTAACTGTTAACCAGAGTTCAGTCGACTTCCTATCTTTCTCTATCTTGTTATCCAAGAAGAGACAGAGGATCAATTAACCATGGGTTAGCGGTTAAACGACGTTTGTGAAACTGGCCCTGATTCGTAAAGAAAGTGAATACTTTTTAAGTTTGTGACCGGCTGTGCGAGTCAACGTTCGTCAAACGGAGCGTGAAAGACTCTTTATCTAGTCTGAAGATTCTTGGTGCGAGCGCGCTGAATCTTCGTCGACTCGAATAACGCGTACGCTCCTTTCAGTCGGGACACGCGATCGAACCGTTTCCCGGTAGAACATAAAAACTGATGCGACATCATCGCTCACGATGCGACGATGTCACATCGGTTTTACGTTCCACTTTCGACGCGCGATGGCCCTCGGCAAATAAGGATTTTCGCGTCGAACCGAGATTCTCGTTCGCCGGCGAGACACGGGCGGAAGCGTCGCCCTGAAAATTGGCGCGCGTCGACCTTCGCGCGGCGCGCGCGGAAGGGCCTGGAAGGGCCCGACGGCACCGGCGCGCTCTCGCATTCCCCCTATCTCCCGCGCGCGTCGTCGTTGCTCGCGTACGAACTTACACGCGACGAGATTCTCCCGAGATCTGCTCTGCTCCTCGGCGGCTGCGATTCGCGCCACGTACCATCCGCATCCATTGCTCCCGGACGAAAAAGACGCGCTGCGTCCACCGCGGCCGGTGGCGGGAACATGGTAGGGGGCGCTCGGGTAACCTGAGTGCGCCCCCTACCATAATCCCCGCCACCGGCCACCGTGGATGCAGCGGCACCATCTGCACTCGACACGTAGGAGTGCAGGAGAGAGAGAGCGCGGGCGTGCTGAGCGGGGTGGACACAACCGAGGCGGAAAAGGAAAGGCGTGCGACGACGATGCTCGGCTGCGTGGAGCGTGCTGCGTGATACGCGGCCGATAATCGGTATCGGCGTGCCGCCCCGCGAGTCGCCCACGAAATTGCGCTACGCCAGGCCGCTTCCGGTTCGCTCGGTGCTCGGTATCGCCGACGACGTGACGTCCGCGGGTCGCACGCACGCAGAGAGAGAGAGAGAGAGAGTACGGCACGGTAGGGCGCGCGTCAACGTCGTGTTTCTCTCGTCGGGGGCGTCTCTTTCGCCGAGAGTTTGATGGGGATTGGCAGGTCCGGGGGCTCACGCCGATCGCGCGGCCTAACGTAATAGCCGCCCCCTCCTCTCTCCGCCCCCCCGCGGGCGTATACGTCGCCGGAGGTGTGCGGGTGACTCGTCGATAAACAACGCTTGGCGCGCGCGCGGGCCGACGTCATCGCCAGGAAACGCTGGGCGCGAGCGATGCGCGCCCCGGCGCCGCGAGCGCAACACCCGAAGGTCTCGTGAACGATGTCCAGGTGTCGGTAGTCGGGGGGGCACATCCGCGTAGGCGAGACGCCGATTAAACACCGGGGTGTGCGGTCGGCGCCAGGAAAGGCATGGAGGGTGCCAACGGTCAGCTGCAGACCAAGTATCAGAAAATCGCCACGGAATACTCAAAAGTGAGGCACTGAGCGACGTTCCGAGTCTGCTACTCCGAGGCACAACATTGCTTGCATTTACAATCCAGCCGTTCCGCTAAGAACTCGGGGGGGGGGGGGCCCAAGTCAGCGTCTTGAAGTAACGCACGCGATAGCAGTCTTGTGTCTCAAGTGTACAAGACCATTAGCCAGTCCGAGGGTCAATTCTGTATCGTACAACGTAGTGAAAATGCTAAAAGCGTGAGATTTTGAAGACGTAGGCTTTAGGAAATTGACCAGTTACAGTCTAGTATCCTCCTCGCACTCCACTATGATTGATTAAGTTTTTCTCTGGGCTCTTGTATGACTAGACATCTGTCTGTCGATTTGCCGAGTGATGTAATCAATGTTTTTAGTTGTATGGACATATTTTACTATTATTATTTTTCTTTTGTGTACTAGGACATGTTCTCCTATCTTTTGCTGAAACAATTGGTGGGTGTAACCTAAGATATACTTTAAAAGGACTAGTATTACTGGTCAAAACGTCGTAATTTGATTTTATTAAAACAAAAGGTTCGCTGGCCTACGTCGTTTGAATTATTTGTTGTATTTCTTTCATCACTGGCGACTGGCTATTTCCAAAAACTCAGGATTGATTAATCTCTTTAATCTTAACGTCTCATTGTAGATGCCGCATTAGAGGACACTCGGAAAGAGAAAGCTCTACTTGCTGTTAGCATTTTCGCTACAGTATAGGATACAGAATTGATCCCCAGCTAAGGCGTGGATGCAGAGTTTTGTTTACGTTTGCGATAATAACGTGCTGCCGCTCTGCGGATCTTGCGACCTGCTCTGTTCGCCGCTGTTGGACATATCTAAAGGGAGATTGTAATTTTTGCAGATTCGTGCGCAGGCAAACGTCCTGAAGAAGGCCGTGATAGAGGAACAGTCGCGCAACACGGACATCCGGAATCAGCTGAAGGAGAAGGAGGTGGAGTTTCGCCGGGCCGAGCAGGAGATCGACAGTCTGACGTTTCGCAATCAGCAATTGACGAAGCGTATAACCGTGCTGCAGCAGGAGCTCGACAAGGCGCAGAACAAGCCCAAGAAGGGTAAGGGCAAGGCGTCGGAGAACAACAGTCAGATCCCACAGCCGCAGCCGCTGCCGCCACCGAATAACATCTTGGACGAGGAGTTTCAGAAGAAGATCGTCGAGAATGCCCAGTTGGTGTCGCAGATCAGTGACAAGGATGGCGAGATCGAAAGCTTGTGCGATAGGATACAGCAGTTGGAATGCAAGGTCGACTATTGCGAGAAGTCCAAGGTGGAGTCCGAGTGCCAGTACCAGGGCGCCATAGACAAGTTGGAGAGGGAGAGGAATGACTTGCAGAGAAAGTTAAACGACAGGCAGAAGCAGGAGGAGACTGTGTCGTGGTCTAGCAACGAGGGTAGACGCGAGGGTTACGACTTCGATGTCAGAGGAGCGTTCTCGAATCATCGTCAGGCAGAGCCGTCGCCGTTTTCCTCGCCATCTGCCTCGCGTAGATCGTCGAAGTCGCTCGGGGAGGGCAAGCCGCAAAAGTCGCAGGAAGAAAATAACGAGCTGCTCTACTTCGCCAATGCGAAGCCGTGCGACGTAGAGAAGGAAACTAATCACTGGAAAGCCCAGTACCATATACTCAAGATAAAGTACGACGAGTTGGAGCAGAGAGAGTCCGCGGCGACTTCGCAAATCGACGGAAGCGCGTTAAAACCCGTGGAAATTCATAATATGGTGCGCATCATATCTGTTTCCAGTTTCTTGTTAAGAATATACATATCGTGTTTAACTGAATTGTACGTACATGTATCAACTTATTGCTTCTTTGTTGACAGATTGGGAAGTTGAGTGCACCTTTTGCCATACCAGAGGAGACTGAGGCTCGCGAATTAAAAATTAGGGATTATTTCCTGGAAGAAATCGAGAGACTAACAAATGAGAAGCACGTCTGTCACATAAAAAATATAGCTATGGCCGCCAATGTAATGATGCACATTTTTAATCTTACTCTCACAGTAAATGTGTCACGTCCCTGCGCCTTCGTCATGTAATGTACAAATTTGCCGTGCGTTTTAGAGCGAGGTTATGCACGTGCAGTTGGACACGAGCGAATCAAAGAGAGAAAAGTGCGAGGCGGCGCTACTAGAGGCACTTTCCAATTATAACAGTACACAAAAAGAGAAAGAAATGCAGGAGGTGAATTACAAGGTACAGCTCAACACCATGAGCGAACATCTTGCCAATATGAACGAGAAACTTATCTTCCAAACGGAGGAGATACAACAACTAAAATTCGAACTAGCTAATAAGGTAAAGATGACGAGAGATGATACACGCAGGGCGGTCCTCTCGCGAGGGCGTTTAATATCGGAGGCATAATTTCTTTTGCAGAATAGTAAAAGGGGAAAACAGAAGTGATCCAGGTCAGAATTGCAGAGAACAATCATCGACATTCCATTCAGTGGTATGGTTTAATCGCGATCATCAGATTTTATGTGTACATATACCTGAAGACCACTGGTTTGCGCGCATACTCGTGTCTTTAGCCTGAAAAGCGCTAAAGAGCTCTCTAACTCGATGTTACATTATTTATGAAATCAAAATAAAAACTCATCCAAGACGTTCACCCTCGTGAACGTTCACGTTATAAGTTTAACTCTTCTATATTGTATATATATGCAACGATTTTTCTCATTTGCTCACTACTTATTTACAGCAATATACCAACTCGCGGTACAGAATAACTTTTACAGTCTAAATTCGTTAATCAAGAGACACAGGCATCTTTCCTTTGGTACCACTTGTAAGACATTTATAATTAGACCGTTTATAATAGCTAAAAAGTAAATCGATACCTACGACTGTAAATTATAAGCCGTTCTTTCTATATTAAAAGAAAAGAGATGTAAGAGATATGTACAGCTACTGTTTATAGTAGGTGTTGTGATAAAATGAATGTATATTCGCCGAAGCAATTTTATCTGTTGCTTTGCGCGTATTAACTATAAATAAAGTCTAATTAATCTTCGGTAAACGTTTTCAGAGCTTACATTAATTACGAGCCAGCGTTCGTCTACTCTACTTTAATAGCAAAGCTAGCGCCGCAACTACATCCCTGTTCCGCTAGAGGATTGTTTGTTATTCTAAAGGCAGATCGTATCAACTCCGTGTGGAACTCTATCGTTGATCCCTTGACGTATTCTAACGACGTCGAGTCTATTACCACTTTAGTACCATCCTTCTGAAATATTCTGCAACACAAGAGAAACGGGTTTCCAGCGATCCTGCGTTATCTGTGGAAGAGGCACGCGTATCTGGATGCACACCTGTCGTCCTCCTGTACGTTTGGATCCAAGTCGAACTTGTACTGGAATCCGGAGCAGCCACCGCCTTCCACGGTAATCCTCAAACACACGCCGTCCGCGGCTATTTCCTTCAAACGCCTCACGCAGCTGTCACTGATGATCAAATCACCTGCAGATTTCACAGCGGCGTCCGCTGACACTCCTCGGGATGATGTAACCAGGGACACATTGCACCATGGCGAGCTGGGAATAAATCAGGAATCTCGTAACGGCACTCAGCACGTCTCGTGATGATTAGGTTTTTCTTTTAGCTTCAATAATTTTCAACACAATTACTAAAAGAACGTGCATGTCTTACGTTACAGTGTGAACGAAGTATATGTACGTACATTGTAATGGGCATGGATATATGTTGTAACGTTTTTTTAGGCGTTACGTAAAATGACCGCGTGAGATTTAGCGACGAGCAACGGGAGAACGTAAATTCTACTCACGCCAGCAATCGAGAGAAATACCGATTTGCCGCAAAGTTGGACGACAGACTCCACATGACATGGGTTAGCTTCGCCATGTTTCTCAGTCGGACATATCAGCTGTTCGTTCGAAATTTTGCCGCCAACTTCAAGCACATTTACAAAGTAGCAGATACCACGTACGTTGATTAAATAATAGAATCTTCCGCTTAGCCGCTGACTAGACTGTTTAAATTCAGAAGAAAGAACATAAATGTTTTGAATTATGACTGCATGACACAATTTCTATATTTATTTCTTTTTATTTTATTCTTTTTGCCATCATCCAGTTTGTTTATCACATAATACCGAAGGCAGAGGTGTAATTCCTGAAATTCCTTCGCAAAAGAATCGTATGCGAGAAATCTGCTCTTATAGAAAAGTTGCAAGGTGATTAACGATTCGTATAACTTTCACCAAATAAACTTTCAACTTTTTTGTAAAAGCAGAATTTTCGCAGTTTTTCTTGCGAATGATTCAAGAATCGAGGCCTAGGGTGCAAGTTCGTATCGAGTAGAGTCCGACTTCGTGTCTGCATATCGCGTATGATGAGCGTTAAATCAATGTTGAAATCGATTAGTTAACAGATATTGTTACAAACGTTATGAAGCAGTTTAATATCACAGATTATTTGCGTTTACATGTTTGATACGCGTATTTTCTATAAGACCGTACGGATGCTCGCGTGCTCGATTCGCGTTTTGAAACAAACGCTTCAGAAAAGTTACAGATGCGGAAAGACAAATGGAAAACATACATGCGGTAGAAATGTAATATATTTTCATAAATCATATCGTATTTTGTTTTCTACTGACATTATTTTAGGACGTACAAAACACGCGTTCGCAAATTACATCTAAGGGTAAAGAACAATCTCTATACTCGTATCTGTGCTACGTTCATTTTCTGTTCTTCTTTTTTTGGTGGATATTGAGGCATAATTGCTTTCATGTCTTGTTGATAAAGGTCGTTGAACGCATGACCTAACACTAGCAATATCCGAGTAGTAAAATGTTCATGTCATATTCAGTAATGACGCATATGTTCTCTCAAAATATCAGTCATATGTAAGTATCAAAAACTCGGTACCGTGCTTCTGGTACCAAGATTCAGATTTCTTAGATTCCTCTTTCTCATTTTCTAAAATAAAAAAAAATCATGTATAATATCGACTTGTCGGAATACGATATTTTTTCTAAGAAGAAAAGAAAAAGACTACTCACTTCCATCAACGGTAGGTAGCCCAAACAGGCCAGAACCAAAGGAACCTGCTACAGGTACCTCGGGGAATAATCTTGTGAATATCTTTAATATTTTATCAGATTCATCGTATGGGTCCTCTAAATAAGGCACGGATATAAGCATAAATCCTACGGAGTGTTTCTTTAATTTCACTTTGTCTTTAAATAACTTTAAGCTTGCCTCGATCTGCATCTCTGTATTGCAATCGTCTGCCAAAATTGTAGACCACGTTTTTATCGAACCAGTAATCACGACACAAATACAACTTCTTCGGACATGTGTTGGTTTAGTCATATTTACTGTATACCAATTACGTCTGAACTTACTACCCAATACGGAATCAATTTTGATTTCTTTGCTGAATATATTCCAACAGAAACAAACATGAATTATCAAGTATTAGCGATTGTTGTACATATCCATTGGAATTAGAAAATTGAATATGTATTACTGCTTAGAGTAAATATAAACCATACCTATTTTGTAGTTTAGAGGCCCAACGTAATGCTAATTTTGTACTCTCATATTCAAAAAATAACATCAAACACGTAGATGTTTCGTGATGCGATACAGACGTTTTATTATGATTAACAATTGTATTAACTATCTCTTGATATTCATTTACAAAATCATTCGTCAGCGTGAATGTCTTCATTCTCACATTCGGGATTTCTGGTAAAAATGTACATACTGAATTGTAAGGTGAACAACGATCTGTTCCTCGGCTGTCTATGATACCTTGACTATTTAAACATATAATATCCCAGCATTCAGGTAGCAAATTTTTTATAGACTCTGAAGCAGAAATTAAATATTGATTACAATAATCCTATATTATTCTTTGATTTAAACAGAAAAATAAGAAATACAATTTTAAAATATTACTAAAACGTTCAAAGTGTAATTTATAAAAATTGTTTCCAATAAGATGTTTATTTTCTACAAAATCTTTTGCCAATAAATTTATTTAGAATCAATTTTTATAGAACTTCAAAATTTGTATGTGTATACTTAGTAAAGAAAACATGGTAAAAAGTGTATTAAACCATATACCTTTTTCTTTCCAGGACAAAGATTGTGTGGAAAGAAACCAAAATCCTATCCTTGGCACAATTCTCAGATTACTAATGTAACCTAAAAGTTCTTGGTAACAATATTCCTTTTGACGTTTTTTACACATAGCAAGACGACAAGGATTTCTTCTTACCAATTTCTCTTTTGTTGCAGCTTCTGACCAGGACCTGAAAACATTAATTTCATACTACAATTTTAACATAGGTCCTTTAAGATATAAAATCAATTAGAAATTAAAGAGGCCGTTTAGGACCGGGCATAGGTGTAAGTAGCCAGTTAAATTATTTAAGTGAATTCATATACCGTATTCTTTCCAACTTATCCTGTGCGCCAGTAACATACTAGTCTTAAAACACAGGTTAATCCCCGTAAGTGGAAGTGTTATCGTCAGTGAATTCACGTTTATAAATTATTTTAATAATGCTACACAGTAGCATCTAATATGATAACCCCCTTCCCCCCTTATTAAAATTCTTATTGCGAAAAATATTACCCCAGCCAGGATTCGAACCTGGGACCTCCCTCAATCCGTGCGGGCGTCTTAACCAGCTCGACCACTGGGGCTGTTTAATTTCATACTTAAATTTATGTTGCATTCAACTTATGTTGTCATGTACTTTCCATTCTTGGCATAGTGTATGGGATAATGTTAAATAATACCATTCGGAATATATTACCAGAAACAAATTATTTATACGTCAAATCTTGTTCTTTCGTGTTCATTCGCATAAACGTGATATAGAAACTATAGCTAGACTATTTTCATATAATAAATGATAAAGATTGAATCAAACGCGGGTCACTAATGAATTAAGGCCGATTATACCTGCAAACCATTGCAGCCTTAGTTAGATCTTTGCCATTTAAATGGTGGAATATGTTTCTTAGAAGATAGTAGCAGTTTAGAACGATTCCGGCAGCCAATGTATTTCCATTGCTTTGCGTCGCATCATCGTCTTTGGACCTTCTACGTTTTCTCTTCAGGTACCTTCTACTTTCCTTTTGCAACGTGTCCTCCATCTGTCCTTTTCAATCGGTATGAAACGGTCGCTTGTCAAATTCTACAATACGATACAACACCACTGTGAAAGTAACGAGAGGGCAATGCACGTTGGTTGCTTTCGTTAAAATTGTTAACGATGGTTCGAAAATAAACCGTGTGCTGTAATTGGCCACATCGAACTTTTCGTTTCGATTGGTTCTTTCTCCAAATAGCGAGCCATTCCATTACCTAGTTAAGTCTGCCACACAATGCAAAAGAACAGGAACGCGATTTCACTCGACTCTTAAATTCATTCGCAAGAGAAACGTATGCCGTAAATATGTTGTTACAGAAAAGTTGCAAGGTGATTGACATTTGTGTGAATTTTAGCCAATCGGCTTAGGCCCAGATAACAATTCTTGCGCGCAAATTTTCCTTGTTTATGCATGCAAACTTGTACGAGATTTGTCAGAGTTTTGCTCGTGAGATATGTTTAGTCTGTGCTCTTGCACGCAAGTGGTTAGCTCATATATTAATTCATATAATTTTGCGCGCAAATATCTAACAACTTACGTACAAAAATGGCTCAATAACGCAAGCAAAATCCTATCTCAGTGCGTCGTCATAGGCCGGTATTCATTATCAAAATCGTCTCAAGTGTTGTCTTAAGAGGCTAATACTGCTCTGTGAAACATCGAAGTTTGCGTGCAAAATGTTTTCTGGGGGGTAAACTGTGCAACAACCTGTTGTGTACGATCAGCGCTAAATCAATATATTGAATCTAATCAGTTAACCGATATTGTTACAATTAAACGTCATAATTATCAAGTAAAAATGATAAAAATTATAAAGAATTTAGTATCATATATTATTAGCGTTTTATTTTTACTAACAAGCATATTTTTAACTATGCCGATCACACCGAACGGACGATCGTGTGCTCGCGGGATGACGTGTAGCTTTGTGCTAACTCCTGTTTAAAATAATAGATAAAATGATCGGATTACATTAGTTTACATGCAATTTCAATGTAAAGAAATAAAAGTCTTATTAATTTATATTCATAAACCGACTAAATTTAATGTAATCATATTCTATCTATTATTTTAAATAGGGACACGAGTGATTAGTAATAGTTGGGTCCTCGGCTCGATCTCGACCCTCGTTCTGCATGTTTTCCTAAGGAATTAAGGAATTAAGGAATTAAGGAAAGTTTCAAAAATTCAACGCTTCAAAAAAATAACAGATGCGAAAAAGTAAATGGTAAACGTGCGAGTTTGTCGAGATAGTCACCTTCGTCACTCTCTACGGCCGGTACGAATACCGGCCTATACGTCGAACAAAGACAGAAGACGCTTGTAGCACTAAAAGCGCGCTATCCGAACGCAATAATCGCGCATTATGGCCGGTATTCATAGGCAGATTTTTATATTCGAGACTGCCTCAAGATCATCTTCAGATACTCCGTAGTCAATAAAATGTTCCATACAGCATCTTAAATTGAGATAAATTCAAGACGGTCTTGAATGTAAGATCTGACTACGAATACCAGCCTACATTTTCTCTCAAAACATGAATCGTACATTATAAGTGTCAAAAATACAGTAGCTAAAATTATTATACCGCGATTCAGGTTTCTTACATTCATATTCCTCTTTTTTTTATCCTCTTAAGCTAAAAGGAACAACTGGATATCGAAATGTAGCAATTAATTCTCGAACAATCCGACTATTCAACAACTTTCTCTCTCACCTAATACAAGCTTGAATGGTCAATTTCGCTGACCATCTAAACAACGAAGCGACAATAACCTGATCTCGAAAACGTTGGAAGGTGGCACGTGGACGACAACAGGACTAAGTTCCGTGAAGATAGAAGAACTAAGAAAGGAAGAGAAAAGCAGAGAATATCAGCAGACGCCTCATCCTCTCCACGTTGAACGGCATTGGTTGAAAATCAACACGTGACGTCACCGAACGAAAAGAGACAAAAGGACGAGACGGTCGTCGCGCACGAGGGGGCGCGGCGGAGAGTAGGGCGCGCGGCGCGGCGCGGCGCGGCGGCGCGAGTAAACACTCGCGGATCAGCTGATGAGGCACAACACAACACAAGCCAGTCGGAGAACGAGGAGGAGGGCCCGCCGTTTTCCCGCTGCCGTTGCCACTGCTGCACACTGCTGCTGCTGCTCTTGCTCTTGCTGCCGCCGCTGCTGCCGTTGTCGCTGTCGCTGCCGCTGCCGTTGGTTATGGCGACGAGTAGCTCCGACGGCTCCTGCACCGCGCCCGCGGACTTCCAGCTCTCGTCCGAGCTGGAGGACGCGTCGAGTCGCCTGAGCATGAACCTGCTCAAGTGCCCGTTGTGCCATAACAGCCGTCGGATTTTTTACTGCCGCCAGTGCGTCCAGAACGGGGATTTTATACACTCGAACACCGTCTACTCGGAACGGTGCGTCTGGCGCGTTTCCCCGTTTCTCTCCCTGCGCTCTCCGTGAAACGGAGCAGTTCGCGTTTAAAAAAAAAATTTTTTTTTCCCTGAAGTCCGCCGTGGAGCGCGTTATTTCTGAGAATACGTTATAGCCGACTAGTGCGAGCGACGTCGCCTCGGAAACACGCCCCGAGCTGTGGTTATAATTACCGATGATGTGTTATTTAGGTTCGCGGATAAACAGATGCGGCTGGTACGGCTGAAGGCTGCCAGAGCCCAGCTGGAGGAGAAGTGCATGAAGGCTCTCGAGAGGCACAAGCAGAGGGATAAACTGGTATCCGTAGAAATAATAATTACCTTCCGTTTCCAAGCCATTATCTGTATGTAAAGGGACAATGGACGCTATTGTTTATAGATATACAGTTTATTTTAATACGTGAGCACACGAAGAGGCTTCCTGCCGTCAGTCCGTTCCTTTAATATAGTTAAACGAAAGCTGTTGTACAGAAAAATTATCACGTAATTTGACCAAATACACATAATTGTACAATTATCAAGATATTTCCTCGCGCGATATTTTCATTGCGGCTGATGCAGCGTTTTGTATCTTGAACTTGTAATTTCAGATTTGTGATATAAATACATGTAAAGAAAGAGTGAGACTACTTCAGTCTCTGGTAAACGAGACGAGGCAGAGTATCGGCAGAGGTAGGAAATCTGCAGAGCGACGATACTAATTGTCTCTTCCAGTGATTACTTGATCTTAATTTTTTTACACGTAGGTAACCAACATTTGACCGTTTTGAAGGACGTCAACTCCCAGTTGACCCTTCGAGTGCCACGGCACGAGGATAGGATAGAGAAACTATATCGTTACGTTAATGGCTTGAAAGTTAAGCAGGAGAAACAGAAGGAAGCGGTGGACAGGAAAAGGGAGCAATTGAAGAAAGTGATCAGAACCGCCGCCAAGCAGTTGATTCAGTACATTTTTCCCTTATCTAAGGTCCAGCCAAATATCAATAAGAGGTATTAGACTTTTGCAATTATATAAGAATAATTATGTAGAATAAACTGAAGAATCAAGTTGCTAAAAGTTTGTGTCGAAGATTACTAATATTGCGAATATTATTTATAGTTTGTGCAGCAAGGACGGCGAGGACAGCGACAGCGTCACTTCGGATATTCTTACTAGCGCATTAGCGGATGCGTCAAGTACGTCGTACGTGCGGGGTAGGTGGATTAGCGAGAAAGAAACTTCTTTGAAAATCCATCATTGTATAGTTGAGCCAACGTTGCCGGCGACAGGAGACTACAGCGCTTATTCTCTTTGGGGTAATTGATTCCTATATTAATTGTATGACATTATACGCAAATATAAACGCGTTGCATTTAGTTGCAGCAAATAAAGATGGGGTACCAGGTGCGAACAAAGAAAACGCGATGCACAATCCAGCGTATAATATCAGTGCTGCTTTGACATACGCTACACAACTTGTCAATGTTCTTGCCTATTATGTTAATGTAAGACTACCATACAAACTTACTTGCGGGTATGTATCAGGAAGCTTAATGCCAAGCGCAAATCCATTCATTAGACACTAGATTTGTTCTCAGTTTCATTGACTTTAGTTATCATAAGGCACGAACATAGATGTTTGTAATATTCCCTTCATCCCGCTTGTGTTCTTTCAGAGAGTTTTGCGGAAACGAATTGTCGGACCAAAAATTTGCTAGGAAAGTAGCAAGGCTAAATAGTAATGTATTACATTTGTGTCTTACGCAAAATACCAAGATAGAAGTTTTACATCCCATGCATACGTTACAAAACCTGATGCATTTGCTCAATACTGAAATTAGTGATCTCGGAAGGTAGTCTACAATAATTTCACTAATTTTAACAAATAATAAATTCGAATGTGTAAACTTATGACTGCATATCCTGTGTGTATCGTAGAATTGGACCAATGGAAGTTGATCCGTCTGTAATGGCACAACTTCACAATCAATTAGTTCCTGATTTGGAAAATAGCGACGATTCAGCTTCCGATGAAGAGGACCTGTGTTGGGGGTGGGAGGCTGTAAGTCATACTTCTGTAAGTTCCATATTTTTGCTTTTGTAACGAATCGCACTGGAAACATGATTGACGTGGAACCCTGACGGTATATGTACGCAGGTACCAAGTATCGCTTGTCCCGAAATGGCAGTACCTACTTCCGGTGCAATAGTTAGTCAGCAATCTGCTAGTGTGCAAGTGCATCAGAGCGTTGCTGGTGGCCTGGTGACAAGTGCAGCGGCCAGTATCGCTTCAATTTGGCGAGGTTGGACTAATAAATAATTTTTTTCCTTTCGACACGTAAGATTCTTGCGACATAGATACAGTTACTGTACATTTGCAATTCCTCAAATCAAAGGACAACAACTTTGAAGAGGTGCTTCAAAGTAAAAAAAAAAGAAGATATTTAGATAGTAATATCACGAGACACGGTAGTGTCTCGCGCCAAGTATAATTTATATATCGTGGGGAGGAACGGATGTGATTTGAAATCAACATGTAAATACGTGACTTTCTTAACTTACACGTGACATTCAAAGTAGTTCAAATATGCTGTGACAGATTCCGTTAGATCTGATGTCTAACTTAGCTCGAATCTAAAATAATTAGAGAAGGATTTAATAAACTGGCTGTTTAATAAATTTACCAGGACATTTTATATTTCAATTGCACCACGAAAATAATAGATTAGATTGTGATATATTAAGATATGTACTAATGATCTACGAAACAAGATGTATGTTAATTAGCACAGATGTATGCCGATACAGAATTTGTTATGGTAGAACATATAAATATGCAATGACTGCCTTTTCTATGCTCATCGCATTTGGTGCGATCGTACATCCCTATAGATGAGATATGCTTCCCTCTATTAAATATGTTATTAATATATTTTACATTACGGGACTCATTTCATGCCGAATCAGCATTAGAGTCTGATTGTGTAAAAGTCTTTAGGAGCATATCTTTGAGATTGTAACCAATCTTTTGCTATGTTTTGTTTGGTGACAAAAATCTTCGACTGCAATAACATGAAGCATTTGTTGCTAAATAATATGTTCAATTAATTAATGTATATATTATGTGCTGAAATATCTTGATGAATTTTTGGTTGTGGAGAATACGTACATTACATTATTTATTATATGTGAGACTACTATGTAAATTATATATTTTTTACCATGTAGCATAAAAATAGGATTTGTTAAACATTTCATACTTAATAGTATAAGGGAAAAGTATTGTAGAGTACATTACGTTAGCTGATTTTATTATATTAAGTATATTAAACGAGAGCATTGATAAAATAGTATTGTGGTCATTGTAGAATATATGATCATCCATAAGAAATTAGCACACTCTACAAAAGAGATAGTTAATAATATGGTTTTCCAAGTTTAAATGTTTAGTCCAGTCAATCTACAGTAATCCTACTTTATTTTTGTACAGTGCATTGAACTTGATATTTCTTAGAAATAGTAACTTATTCCTGGTCATCCAATGTCCTGAAGATCAGGGTGCAGATAGTTAATAATATGTTGACAATTGTTTGGTCAACGTAAATGTAGACGTAATATTTCATAATTACATGATGAAAATGCTTTTTATGAAACATTTCATCAGACATTGAAATTTCTTATAAACTGAATATTTTTTTTAGACAGTATAATGATGAAAACATGAGAAAAGATGTTGTGGATAGACAAATAGACTTATATTCATATTCATTATAATATTGCATAATTTTCTTATGCGTATATCCAATTTTCTGAATGATGTTACAGCGTTTTATAAACATACGACAGATAGGAAAAGAATTTCACAAATAGACAAATTACAATATTGAAATGTTAACAAACATAAATCTACATATAATTTAGCACAATTGTCTATCTTATTTAATAACGTATATACATATATGTGTGTGTGTAATTATTTTGACGTCGTTGCTGTTTGTAGTGTTAAAACAGGCGTTACCAGTTCACTTTTCAATTCAGATATTTAAGTTAGAGTAGATTATGGCAAATTTGGATTACAAAGCGCAACAATTTAAATTACATTTTTGGAAATGTACAATAATAAAATATATATGAAATAGCGCATTTCATATATATGTGGGCGTGTGTGGGTGGGCGAAACAGTTTTTATCTTACCGTAAAAAAAAGGCTATGTTTTATCTGAACAAAGATGCATTGTGATACCTCGAATAAACTAGGATCTGTTTTTTTATTGTTATTGCTGTATATTTAAGTAATATCAATAAGAAAAATCGCATACTTTTTAAATATATCAATAACGGTATGCCCATACCATTTTAGATCTTTTGTATCATCTTCAATATTTTGGAATAAACATGTAAAAATAATCTTTGTAATATTGTATTTATATATAAGTAAATGCATATATGCTATTGAACAAATATAATAAACAAACTGGTGCAGACAGACAGCTTGGAGGAATAGGAGATGCCAGATAAATAAGTCTTACATAATAGAAAAAAAATACAAACATTTGTTTCTATTTTTATATAAAAAGCAGAGTTTATTTTATTTATGATCGAATAAAATTGCTTAATTGCTTAAGAAGTGCAAAACAATCAAATATACTATAAAAAGTTACCTATACTTTGAGGCCTGCTATGCATATAATTATACAGCAATATCAAGTGAAGAATACATCAATTTCTACAGTTACATAATATATATTGTGTTTACCAAAAATATCCCTACAATAATTTAATATTTTTACATATCAGATACTTATGTATAATCTTACTTCAAAATTACGATTATCTTTGTTAAGGCTGATCAAATTTTATTACAACTAAATACATATCGTGAAGATATTTTGTGTATAATTTCATGTATAAAAGGAGTAAAGGTGTATGTCTGAGATAGATATATTAAAGTAATTTTCCCAATCTTTCTCCATTTTCCTCTTAGCTCAAAAGGAAATGCTTTATACATTATGTTTCTTTTACCACGCGTAAGTGTAACAACTTTGAAAAAAACTGACATTATGTAATTACCACTCTGCACAGTCTCTGCTCATGTAGAGTACTCCACTATGATGATAGATATCTCATTTTCACCACTTTTGGCCTGGTCAGTCTATCGCAATTTCGCATGTATGAAATCGTATACATATTGTATACATTAACTGCTCTGTGAATTCTGTAAGCACATCATTATATAGTACTTTAATTTTTGCACACGTACATTTTTTTCTGAAGATTTCACAATCACATTTTTTCGTTTCTTATGAATATACTTTTGATTAAGTACTCTGGACAATTGATTATATATCTTCTAACTTGACAAATTAATTATATTATAAACGTGAAAAATTTGGTACAATGTCCCATAGACAAAAGTAATTGTGTACAGTTTTATATTAAATACGAAATATTTGTACACACAATTTCTGTCATCTATAAGACCTAAGATAATATAAAAATTATGACCGACGTTCAAGTTCTTTACATTTTCAGTTCTCGTTTTAAAACTTGATTTAAAAAAAAGATTAATCGAATCTTGAACATACTTATATTTTTTGCACAATAAGATAAATTTAAATTTTAACTATTAATTGCACAAAGCTTATTATATTGAGATATATTAACATCACATAAATAAATTTATTAACAATACCGCTACATAATGTATTTAATATTTCAAATAAATAATATAAATTACATACTTACATGCATTCGAATTTTATTAATGATGATTAGAAGATTATTATCAAAATCTGATTAATTTATCATTTTGAGATATTAATAATATCACGATTCCGTATATTATATTACACGTAATTATGTAACACAAGAATAAACTGCTAACTATAATGTTGCTACAAGTATCACGAAAATAATACTAAAGAAAGTATTACATTAACGAAACAGTGTATGTTAGATATAAAACATTTACAAAGTATTGAAAAATTCTGTATAAAAATGTAATATTTAATCAAATATTGACCTTAAAAAACCCTAATATTTTCAAGTAAAGAAAGTACACGTAACTTAAATTTTCTTAATAATATAGAATTTTGTAGTTCTTCCAATAAATGAAATCGCCTTTTTTTACTGAATAATAATACTAAAATAATACATATTTTAATCATGCAAAAAAATACTAGTAATTATAAAGTAGTATTGTCTAAATATTAGAATGTTAAACACAACTTTTGAAAATATTTTACCAAGTATTGGACATCGGATACTCATATCGATTATTGATAACATAATGATTGTTGTTAATATCAATAGCATATTTCTAGGGAAAACGTGTTCACTAACTGAAAGAGCGTACGTAATATCAATATAAAAAAATATACTTAAAAGTTTACACTCCTATTTCAGATGGAAGTAGTAATTGATAACTTTATCATATATGCTGCGCTTTATCATACGAAGATCTTGTAATTAATCACAATACTACTGCGCTTGCAAAACATGTAACTTTTTATTGTAAAGAAATAAGACTCGCCGAATATCCGCGTACTCGGACATTGTCTGTTTGTTACCATGTTATCCGGTGCCTTTTCTGAACACTATAAAAAAAGCCACATTACTTGGAGTAAAATAATTAGAGTCGAGTAATCCAAGTTCGTTGTAGCAGCGATGTAGTAGCTAATGGCGTATTTTATGTTCAGCCAATTGCTTGGAAATAGGTAAAATGTCAGAAATCGCATACGCTTATTAATGGCGAAAAACGAAAGACTTGTTCCCATCAAATCATTTTAATTATGCGTATTATGTACAATAAACATAGACAGGTATTGTACAATCATGTCGACGACTCTACACACGACAATAATAATATATCTAAAATAGTAGCGTTATACCGCATTGAAAACGCCAAAAATTTTGCAGTATACGACAGGCGCTTATTGTAAGATCTTAGCTTCCTCTTTTCTGTTTCCTTACTCTGTCTGCATTCTGCACTTCAAACGTCGCATAAAAATGTGTGTTAATTCTAAAGCTTCCATCTTGAAAACAATATACATGATTTTTGTATGATTTCCTCTTACAATTAAATTAGAAAAAAGATCAAGTAGTAGCTGTGATGTATCAAAATTTTAATAGCTGTTATTAAGCTTGGTCAGTGGGGATCTGTGTGTCCCTGGCAGACTTGTGCTCTGGCTCAACAGAAAAATAAGGAAGGGCTGAAAAGACTTCACAAGAATAAAGAGTAATTTGCGATAGATTAGTGTTGAGGTGCACAACGTTCTTTCTTTCCAAAATCGTCAAACGATTCAACGAAATTGAATTAAGCAAATTTTTATTACAATGTAATTTCTTGGTATGAAAAAGGCATTGTACAGTGATCCGATTCATCGGAAGAAAAAAAAACGTAACATGACATAGATATTAGAAAAGAAGGGATGGATCTCTCAAGTGCCACGGAGCATTCGTGAAGTGTTAATTTGCTAAGTGAATATTATGTGAAAGCTGGTTATTTGAGCTGCTAATTTCTGCAAAAATTTAAGGAATTAAACGATCCTGTAAATATAATCGGGGTCTAAATTATAATATACAGCGATATACACGACGTGTTACAACAAATTTCCAATGATAAAATTAGTGATTGCGAGTTTTCTATAACCCTATAATATTATGAATAACATTTAAAACAAAAGATCACAAGGTGAAATAAATGCAGTATTATAGTTATTTCATCACTACGATTATGCCAATTGAACTTAATTCATACATAAGTTTACATAACAGTGACATTAATAAAGTACTACTTGTTTCGTTTTAATGAAAGCATATATTTTACATAAAGTTTTGTCCTGATAGTCCTATTCTATAGAATACACACATATATTGAAATATTAAAAAGGACGCATATTGAAATGTTTGAAAAACATTGTTCTTTCACATTTGCTTCTCTTTCAAATTTCATGAAACGTTTGGCTTAATAATGTGCGTTATATTCCATACGTAGAATAGGACTATATGTTTAGAAAATGTATTATTACAAAAAGATGGTAATTCATTAATGTTAAAAGTTGAACTCAAATTTCTACGAAATAGGTGACTTACATTAACAATGTAAATGATCAAATTGTGTTCGTAGATTGCTACCAAATTAAGATTATGTGTTATGCCACCAAGTATTTAATTTTTCATTGAAAAGCATATCTGTACAGCTCTACAGATTGTTTGCAACGAGATAAAAACACATACCATTAATATGGGCATTATATCATTGTCACTAGATGAGGCACGAAAGCTCAGCAAAAGGAGATATTCTGCTACCAAACTATTTTTGTAAATTCGTAGTCTAGGTACACTCTATATAATGTTTCCAACTAGACTTCAATCACTTCAGGAAATTATAAAGCTTTACATATATCCGTAATATGTTTATTCTGTAATTCACAATCTTGTGAAAATCTATTATTTCGTGTAGAGGTTTTATTAAGAAAATTAAGAAATGACGTTAGTGATTAATAGATCGTGAAAATTCGTGAGATCTTCATGGCGAATCACTCTTGCTCGAATGAGAGCTTCAAGATAGATTATTTCTTACTAATTGCTCTCGGATTCAGCAAAAAAAATTATAATGGTACCACTCCTCTACGCATTGTCTGTCTGGGAAAAATCCATTGCATGTCATGAATTTTCGCGTTCTATTGATCAGATTTGAAAGAAAAAGTTTCAAGTACCAGCGCGAAATATATTAGTATCTTTACATTTCCATTTAATGAGATATCGTTAGTAAAAATAGAGGGTTAATCCGTTCTCTGTATAAGATTTACATATTTTTACTTCTAATATATTACTTAAAAAAAAACGGATAATAGATTGCGTGTTAACTTTGTTAGTTTCAGGACATTCCTTTTTATAACCAGAAACGGTAATATACTTTGGTACATGTATACTCCATCGTATGCACGAGGCCTTGATGTACAGTTTCCACTTTTGTTCTAAAAGATGCGTATTTTATGCATGGAAAATGGTTACAAAAGTTAAATGGGATAATGTTTGATATGCGTTATTCCATTATTCATAAAGCTGAATTATGTATTTATATATGTATTAGTGGTAAATGTTTTACTTTAACATTGTTGATTAAATTGCATGTTCAATAATATATTTACCCTATTTCCGAATATACATTAAATACAATAGTTTAATCTAGTATGATTGGAGAGCCAAATGTAAAGTCAAATATAAAATTTATGACATAACATTATTTCACCGTGGAAACTAAACTCAAGGCCTCCCTGTTAAGTGTGTTATAAGTTTATTCTCATCTTTAAAATTACTTGACGAAATATCAGTACACTGTTTCTCAGACAACTCTTCTGTGTGTGTGTGTGTGTGTGTGTGTGTATATGTATATACAGGACTGATAATTTTAAAACTAAACAATCAGTTTTCTTCCTACTCTTCTCCTGTAAAAAGTTTCTGCATACTATAAAGTACATTGGACTGATAATTCCATAAACATCGAGAACTGATTATAAATGAAGAGTAGGAAATACCGATCAGAGAAGTAGATATATTCTGAGCTAATTTTTCCTAGATCTACAAAAATATATAATTATATATCGCAATATTATGCATTTTTGTATCAACATGGCAAGAGGGTATGACAGAAATATTCTATTAAATTCTTATTGAATTCCATGAAAATCTCGCTTCATGATGTATCACGTATGTATTGTAATACAGAAATTTTTTTGTACAGTTTTGAGAAAATACATTGTCGATAAAGTAACGTTAAATCCTGTTCGCGCGTGAAAGAACTATGCAAGCGGTATAAAATGTATAATAGTTAGTCTATTGTGCAAATTTCATAGTAATTAAATGTTTAAGAATCCCCTTTTTTTTAAAACAAGTATTTCCAAATAAATGCATACATAGTAACATATTATGCTTTCTACATTTTTTTTACATATTTATATTATACTATAAAACTTACACCTTGATTAGTTTTTATATTATTCTAGTTTTCCACTTTTAATCCTTGTACATCTAATTTTTAGTATAACATCTGTTTAACCCTCTGCTTATATAACTGTAATATAAACATTTTTCTTCCTTGAATGAAAAAGAAATTTATAAAATCCAACACTAGTGATAAGTTTATAAAAACCAATTAAACAGTGAAAAAAGTTCATGATTAATTGGGATTGTAAACTATACAATCTGCTTTACATTTTCTCCTGAAATATGCCATCAATCGTAAAAATTTCTTACATCTGCATATAAAGTTTTTTTCGTTTGTTCGACTTTCTCACATACTCTAAGTAAAATATTGTTCAAAATAATAGGAGTGCATGTTAAAATTAAAAATAAAAGTAAATATTTTTAATTATCCTTAGTCCCTTTGTAATTGATATTTTACTTGTACTATTATTCCATTAAAATTATTAACTGGCTTAATCTGCAAATTGATAATTTGCACAAAATAATGGAACTTAGTTAAGTAAACATGTTAACTATCAATAGAGCGCTTAAGTTTCAGCCATATTTCTAAAAGAAATCTTGTGATCTTTTACAAGAAATATATTCCTCAGATAAATACATAATCCCGAATAATATTTCAATGGCTGTTGCGATTGCTAAAGTTACGATGGATAAGGAAACTTTTGCAAAGCTTGCGTTTTTGAACAAATAGTATAGATGTAGAATATAGAAACACTTACAAAAGTATGTAATATTTAATTAATTTACTGCATAATATTTAATTAATTTACGCACTAATTTACGTTGTGCCAACCGTGGGTCACTTTGTCTACTGATCATATGCTTTACGAGACTTACGAAACTTAGTTCTGTAAAGACTCACCAGTTTATAGTACAACATCGTAATTTTTCTTTAACACTGATAGGATTTCCTTACATAGGGATTACTATTCAAATAAATGTGTTCTGTAAATTCTGCATCTTTATATGAATATATATGGAACATATCTTATTACATAATTGTACATTTGATGCAGTATAAGGGGTCGAGGGTTAGTTATGTTAACGGGATATAACCCACACTTACAGAATGCGCTTTGCTGGGACACATTTCTCGAAACGTTCTCTCGATAAAAGATTGCCTGGAAGGAAAAGAAATGGTAAGATGTACATTATGAAATCTCCGAGAGTATCATATATTCAGGTGCATTTGGAGAAGGTCAAGTATAAAATTATTGGGCTCTCACGACAGAAATCTAATTATATTCTGGAATCTAGCCAAATTGGTAGAAGACTGCCGATTCGGTTGTATTTGGTAGTAGCAACGTTAACATTACTGAGACCCACCACGGAGATCGTAAAAAGTTTATTTTCACTTTCTACTCAATATAACTGAATATACTAAATATATTCCCATTTATCTTCTTCAAAACTTTTATCATATACACACATATTACGTAAGTACGATTCATCTTTTTCATTATTAAAATTATATAATATTCACTGTGCAGAAACTAACCCTCTTAACAATAACTAACAGTAAAACAAGAAATATTTCAAACATTGTAAACACTTTTTACTGAGAATATTGATATTTTTAACAGTTACATATTATTTCTAATCATTGCATTTTGATGTTATCAGACTTACTTAGCGTGAAGACCACCACCAGGAGGCAAGGAAGGAAAATCTTGGTCGCTTCCTCTAAGAAGTTCAAGCATCTTTAGGTAGTCAAATTCACTCTTGTCCTGCTCTTCGGCGATTATTTCTACAAGTACAGAAGAACAATATTAAGGCAACTCATTGCTACATTAGATTTTTAATTTATAAATAATATAGTAACTAATTACGTGTGTTTTTCTTAGATTATGTGCAATTTTAAATGCAACTATCAAAACATATGCATGATAAAATGTGCTTGGTATGACTTAATATTTATAATTCAGATTCTCCATCAATGTAACTATTTGCTTTCTAGAATCATTGTCATTTTACACATTCATGTGTGTGGTCATAAGTATACATTTCCATATATATCCCACTCTATTGACAATAATTTAAAAATAAAAATTTAACAATCTGCTGGAAAAATATACATTACGCTTGTATGCGCCAATTTTTAACGATACCAATAATACAATGATTTTTTTTCACATGCAGTTTGTCAAGATGCTTGCGGGAATATAATTAGCAAATGTAAAATAATTAGCAGATGTCGAAACACATACACACATTCATATACAATACAGTTGTGTACATGCATCTACTTAGGACTGGAAGAGTAGATTGTACATTACATTTCTTATGGAATACTCTTGTCTTAAGTAGATACATTTTAGTCGAGCTTTCGATATTCGATGCAAATTGTCCACCTCTGGAATTGTATATCCTTCGGATATTACTTTACGGGGGAGAAAAAAAAGGGAAAAAAAATTTGTCGCAATGTTCCTCCATAAGAAATGCATTGCTGTTAAAGTTGATATCAAAAGTATATAATAGACAATTAGATTGTCGTTAGGTTCTCGTAAGAAAATTTGCACCTACCTTATGACATGGTTTAGATGAACTTTAAAAGAGGAACAAACATAAACAAGAGGAACAACTTTCTCTCATACATATACAGTTTCTACTTAGAGATTTAACTTTAGGTAAGTTTATCAACTCCAAGGGTGGAACACATCTTTCAGCAACAATTTCACAAAATATTTATTGATAACTTCTGTCATTACATGACGAAATAATGTGTACTAATTTTATGATACTAGACTAATTTCTCATTCTTTCTCTCTTCCTCTTTCTCATCTTTAAGAGAGTGATATGAAACACATTGATTTAATTTGGTCATAAATAGGGCGCAGATGTTTGTGAGGTTTCACAATGAGCCTTTCCAGATGGAGGACGGTGCCGAGATGTGTTGAGGTATAATCCATATAAAATTTGTTTCGATTAATTAAACAAAGTTGTTCTAATATTGTCAGAAAAAATAAACAAGCGTATTTTTGACCGAATGGAACGACTCACTATAAAATCTCACAAACTTTTATGCCCTATTAATAAATATAGCATTGATGCAACGTTTTTAAGAAATCATATGTGGAGCTAAAATTACTATAAAATACTTTTCTCATAGAATAATATTATAAATATATAAGAAAAGTACATATGTATAAATACTTTTCTTATGTATGGATTGTATTTTTTAATATTATTTTTTGTGTTACTACACATTAAGATTGTACTCGTATCTTTAAAGCTTTGCAACTCTTACGCATTTTTATAACAATATTAATATTTAAGAAACAATCATGTTTGTATTACAATATAATTTAATTCTCTTAACAACAGCCCTCTCATAGCACACGTTAGTATCTCTGAGATATGTGTGTTACATTAGTCGGGTATACACAGTTTTAATAATGTGAGATCTGAGGAAATACAGATATATTTCAGCACACGAATTATTGCATCTGTTTTCACGTATACATTATGTGCCCTGAATGTAGTTTCATAAGGAAATCGGTGAGCCATTTGCATCGAGCTCATAGAGAATTTTGGGAAGTGACAGATGCAACGTGATAAAACTCATTAAAGTGAAACAAATATGCGCATTTACACACACACAGGACGATGTGACATCAACGGTTTATAAACGTTTCCTCATGTGACAGATATATCATACGAGACATCGACTTTATTAACCACAAAGTGCAACGTTAAAAAATGGGAATCACACACACATTGTGTGGTTATTATTACACATAATTTGTACAATAGATTGTGCAAGCTTCAACGTTTATATCTTGTCACCAAGTCGCAATTAAAGTTAATGTCAAATACTTTAAAGGATTTTAAATTGTTATTATTGCTGTACGCACATTAAAACACTGGAAAACACTTTTTATCACTTTTGCAAAAGGATTGCTTTGCGTGTAATGGACTAGGTATATCTTGTGGCACACAGTGATATGTAGATTGCAAATATAAGATTATTCTGAAAATAAAACTCTCAATCTCAGACTAGATTAGATTACATCTATGCGACATTGAAAATATATTGCTGTTTTGAATTTCTTTATATTAATTTTTAGAATAGGTACACATCACCTCTAGTAACGCAATGGCAAATCAACGTTTCAACGATGACATTTCTCTAACATTATGATTACTATTACTTTCTCTACTGAATCTTTAACTGTCTAATACACATCACTTATAATCGTATGCAAATAGTTGCAAGCTAATACACTATTCCAAGTCATTCATTCTATTATTATGATTGGTCTCTGTCTACTCTTCCCCCCCTCCCCCACCCCCCTTAAGCTGCGGTATTTGCAGCGTTGTAAATATCCAAGAATAAAAGAATTTGTATTGCTAAAAATAGATCTTTCATGTAACAACTTTCATAATATTTTTATACTGGAGAATATTTCTTTATATATATATATATATATATATATATACTTTGGCACTAATCAAATTCTTCACAAGTGTGCAAGTTTCTATTATAAATATGCATCAGGAAGAATCCGTTATTACATCTATTTTGTATCAACAAACATTAATTGATTATATCACTTTCGTGATGTATGTAGCACCGTGATCTCGAATTAATGCAACAACATAAAGAATATAACGAATTAAAATATGGAAAAGTCAAAGAACCTTTAATTCTCCTTGCAATAGTCATTTCCAGCATGGCCTCCTGCGTCTGTGCTGTAGGATTTGGTTTCGGCGCGGCCGGAAACGTCACCAGGACTATACTCATATTATCTCTGCTACCCTGTAATAACATTTTTAGACCGATCTCAGTACATGCTCATGTAAGAAATACATCAATCATCGCCAAAAGTTTTTCGTACTTATTCTATAGTCGGTAAGAAAACTCAAAATATGACTCAGCGTGACGCATAAGCATATTATTTGATAAACTAAAAGTAATTTAAACAATATCTCTGGTACTTATATTTTCATACAGCTATTTTGATAAAGTCAAGTTACTTTTTACACAAAAATAGATACGATGCACGATCTAGGATAAAAGAAAGATATATGTGAAAAAGAAGGAAATATTACCTTATAAAGACAAGTGTCTACAACCAGATTGGTAACTGCTTCTAAATCATCAGTAAGCTCCAGCCTTGAATGTATAAAATTACATAAATCTTCGTTGCTCATTACATCCCAAATGCCATCACATGCTAAAACTAGAAACTCGTCGTGTTCATCGTCCCTGTCTAGCACGAATATTTCCGGTTCCGGCGACACTAACTGCTCACAGGGGCCTCGATCTTTGAGATTTTTGTACTCGTAATCGCCCAATGCCCGGGAGACCGCCAGAGATCCGTTGACTCTTTGGATCATGACGCTACCGCCTGCGTTCTGAATTCTCTCCTTCTCGGCGGGCAGGACGGGCTTGTGGTCCCGCGTCGAGAAGACCGGAAGCCCCGATCGGCAGAGGACCGCCCGGGAGTCGCCGCAATTGGCGATATAAATATTTTTCGGCGATATAAATGCACACACCGCCGTGGAGCCGGACTTGTCCGTGCCGGCGCTCATCTCCGGCAAGTCCCTCATCTCGTCGTCGAGTCTGAGGAACCCGGAGTGGATCCCCTTGATGACATCCTCGGCCTTAAACTCCTGCGTTTGCATAATACATTCTAACAAGTGTTCCGCACTGTGCGCCGACACCAGCGCGCCCGCGTGGCCGTCAAACACCGCGAAGTAGCTCCAATCCGAGAGACCGCCCTCCAGGCAGGGGATGGCTCTGTGAGCGTCCTCCATCTCCGTTCGCCAGCCCTGCATGCTGGCGACGCCGTACTGCAAACCGTTGCCAGTGCCGTGCTCATTGCACTTGTCTGTCTTCGGAGTATCCAAAAACGCCCCCATGTTACTCGTCCAATATTTATTGTATTACCAGCTGATTAATTTGTTCCGCGCTCTATTATTTGATTAGCATCATTCCTACGGATCCTCAAAATGGCACTTGCCTCACTCTTACCTAAAATCAAAAGCCTCGCTATATTACATCAGAATTTCTGGCGCCGCGCACTACTTTGTCCCCGAGCGCAGCAAATCCGAGCGGAGTCCAACGTCGTCGGTCGCCGCGTCGATAACCGCGGGTCGGGCAAACTACCTCGCGTACGCGGCGGTTCAAATGACAAAGGCCGAGGTGAGAGCCGATCGGCGGAGACGGGCGGCGTTACGGGGACGTCCGCGACGCGGCCGGAGTCCGGCGTATCGAGCGGCGTTTTGGCAGGCGAGCGCGCGTGTTATCGCCCGGCGCGAATAAATCCATCGCTTACGCCACGCGGGGCCGCGCGCGCGCGACCGAGCGAGCGAGACCGCGATATACGCCACCCGAGGAACTTCTCGTCGCACAGTGGCTGGACTTTTCAGCGCGATATCGTCCCGCGCGCGCGAGGAGCCTCTTATTTGGCAGCGGCGAATTTTCGCGACTAAAATAATCTACCCGCTCACGCGCACGCACGCACGCACGGCTCCCGCTCGCGCGGCTGCCGAGCGTACGAACGGAGAACTTACGTCGGCGGACCGTGACCAAGGATCATCGTCGTTTCAGGTACTAAACGGGGAGCGTGCTCCGACAAACTGCCGTCGCTGTCGTCGCTGCTAGCCGCCGCCGCCGCCGCCACCGCTGCCGTCGCCGCCGCCGCCGTCACCGCCGCCGCGGCCGTCGTCACCGTCGCCGCTGCCACTGCGTGGTATATCGTAGCGTATTCGCGGAGCTAACGCGCTCGCATCGTGCCTCGCTCAGGCCGCGCGCGAACTTATCGCCGTCCTCGCGCCACGTAACCGTACCTCTCGCACCTAGCTGGCTGGCTGCCTGGCTCGCTCGCGCCTGCACACACAGAAACAACGAAATCGACTCGCATGAATGGCGGATACACACGGCGGGTCGGCGCGGCGCGCATGCGCCGGGTTTATTAATAGCGGCCCGCGCGCCGTCGTCACCGCCGGCCAATCGGCGCCGCGCGATTTCTGTTTCGCGCGCCGGCCGATATCTCGCTTTTATAGGATCATCGGCGCGAGGTAAAATTAACTCGCTCTCGCGCTCCTTCTCACCCCCTCGTATTTTCCTCCCCCGCCGTCTCTCTCGCGCCCGCCCGCCCGCCCGCGCGCGCGCGCGACACACTGGAATTAACTCGGCGAGGTGTCGCGCGTGACGAGAGCGTTACGAGCGCGGCTTCGCACGGCCGATAGGCCCTCGTCTTCGGCGCAGCCACCGATTATTACGCGCGACGTTAATCGGCCGCCGCGTCACGCGATTTCCGGCCCGACCCGCGTGATCAATTCGGCGGCTCGCGCCCCCCGTCCCGCCATATTTGTATATCGGTTTATTGATCGGCTCGGCGGCCGGCGGGAATTCCGCTACGGCTGAGAACGTCAACGGGTCATTGGATTACGCGTTATTACGCCCAGATTCGCTCGATTAATTCGCGTTTGTCCGCAGAGCGGCCGCCTCTCGCGTGTCCCATCTATAAGCACGGGCCGCCGAGCCGCGCCGATCCGCCGCCGATTGAGCCGATCGGCTCATTGATCCCCCAGCCCCACGGCGAGGATGCCACGCGCGGACGTGCGCCCGTGTGTGCACCCGAGAGGCGGCGCGTACACCTCTATCGCGCGACCCAGTTTCGAATAATTATGAGAAAGTGGAACGTACACGGCAGCCGTTCGAATCCACGCGATTCACAAGTTTTCCCCCGCGCGACGCATGCGCGCACGCAGAGATCGCGACGCGGAGATTCCCCCCACCCCCCTCTCCCCGTTTCGCTTCCGCTCGCGGGGGCGACTTCGACCGGGGGCTCTCTCGGTTCTTCAATTCATTCGTAGAAACGTACGCGAATGCTCTGCTCTTACAGAAAAGTCGCAAGTTGACTGGCTGCTCGCATGGCTTCGGACCACTTTTCTGTCGGGGTAGAATTTTCGCACACGCTTCTCTATCGAAGGAATTCGAGTACCGAGCCCCTGACGATTCACTCGCGTAGCCCAACATTCGTACTTTTTTTTTAACGATTTTTGTACGAGAGGTATCAGATCTATTAATATAATGCGTCGTCTACAACGGAGTAAGGAGTAGGAGTAGGGAAATAAATCAATTTTATTCCCTTATACTCCTACTTCAATTCCTACGCTTGCTCTCGGTGAATCGGAACGCCATCGGCCAGTATTACAAATGTTTTAACAATTATGCCTGTACTTCAGTTTCCTTACACCGAAATCTTAAAGTTATGGTTCTCTCTCTCTTACTGCTTACTCCACGTATTGTAGACGACGCTTAAAGGATCATACGGTCAATCTTTTCGGGACCAATATAAAAAGATATGTTTTTAAAGAGACAACTAACTCGGCACGGAGAGTCCACAAAGAATTCTTCTTCGAGTTTCCGGATTGCGAAGGAGCTTCCTTTTCAGTCTCATTTCTATTCCAAAAGCATTCTTGAGAATTCAAACGGAATTCGTTTTACATTACCAATTCTGAGCTCTTTTCCAGACAAACAAGATGAAACTTAATCAATATAGGAAACAAATGATCGACACTATAGAAATTCGCACCGAAAGGGAACTCTTTTTGGTTTTACTTTGTACAGATTACATCCCTAAAGGATGTTAAAAAGTGAATACTTTTTAAATTCATAACAATCATCTGTGCTGAGAACTAGCGATTGTACAATTTCCAAAAATGTATTATTCCAACACGCTATTCAGATCTTGGTTTCGTAATTAAATCTACTTTCTAGAAATAAGCATTTATAATGCTTCGAAGACACTGATACATAGGACTCGACGACGCAATGATGCAAGGCGTTATATTGAAAACTTGGCTAGAAATCAAGAAAAATTTAAGATAAAGAAGTGGCGATCGTGGCGCAGAGGATTGTGCGCTGGTCTGGTAATCCGAAGACCCGGGTTCAAAACCAAACAAAAACATTGTTGGTTTTTCGTTCGATCGCCACATAGCGAGGTGGATATAGAGAGAGGTGTTATAAGAGGTTTGGAGCACGTTCCTTCAAAAACGCCTTGTAACCCTAAGGGGAATCAATAAAATGTTCAAACACAAATACACATTTCAAGAAATTCGCTCAATTATGTACGTTACAAGTCTCGTTTCGAAACCAGGGAGCCATTAATGAAAGTGAAATAGCAAACCCACCGGATGCAAAGGGTTAAACGTTTTACAGTTGGCAATCCTGCCGGTTGAATCAATTAAAATTTAATCGAAAAAGACGCTTACGAGATTGGAAATCTCCGGATTTTTCAACAAGGATGCGGGAGACTTCTCTTAATAATCGTGGCATATCGATAGAAAAATTAATTTAATCCTTCAACAGAGACGGTACTTGAAAAAGATCATAAAACGTGTCCTACAATAAATAGATTTAAATAGATATCTCCGGCAGAAGTAGGAGAATCCAGGAAACAATGCCTTGCGTAACTCGGTCGCATGCTCGCTACGCGGTTACTTCGACGCGAAGCCGAGGTCTCTAGGCACCATGAATCGCTTCATCACCTCGTCCGTCACTTTTCTCCTCGCATCCTGATGCGCGGCGACGAGTCGCTGCAGCACGTCGATCAGCTCCTTCTTCAGCTCGCCCGTCAAGATCTCCCCGCTGGTGTAGCCCTGGAAAATAAACGCAGCCGTTTGTACGCAGCCCCGGAGATTGAAGGCAACGAGGGACTGACCTTTCTGATTTGCTCCAATCGTTCGTCGTCCTCCAGGAAGAATCGCAGCCACTGATAGGATATGTCCACCTCGCAGTTCCCGCCGAGCTGCCTGTGCTCCTCCACGGTGGCCTGGCCGCCCGAGAACGCGTGCTTGTTGACCTTGTTCTTGATCTGCTTGGCGGTGTCCGTGAGGAATATCGCCGTGTTGCAGTCGCTCGCCGACATCTTCGTCTTGGAGCCCTGCAACGCCGGGAAGAAGGTGGCGTGCAGCAGGGCCGGCTTCGGGTAGCCCAGCCTGGGCGCCACGTCCCTCGTCATGCGGAAGTACGGGTCCTGATCGATCGCGCACGGTATCAGGCAGTGCGCCTTGGCGTCCTTGAAGATAAACTGGAACGAACTGGAGATGGCCGGCGCCGCTTGCGTGGCCGGAAACGCGATCTTGGCGATCGGATCGCTGTCGCCGAAGCCGAAGATGCCTTTCACCTGGTTGAACGTGACGCATCTCTGTATCCTGATCATATTCTGGTAAAACGCCGGGTTGTTGCCTATATGCTCCAGGTTGGAGAATATGAACGTCTTCTCAGGATTGAAGCCGCAGGCGATGATGTCCCTCGCGTTGGCGTACGCCAGCTTGATGGCGTCCTCTATCGTTATGTTCTTCCATATGGCCTTCTCGTCGTCCGTCAGCTGTATGACCAGCGGCACGTTGAACACGTCCTGCAGCCACTTGCAGAACATGAAGGGAATGAGGTGGCCCAGGTGCATCGCGTCGGAGCTCGGCCCTCTGCCTGTGTACAGGTAGAAGAATTTCCCTTGCTCGTAAAGATTCAGGATGGTGTGCATGTCTCTGTGGGAGAAGAATATGCCTCGCCTGAGAAAGTGGTGCGGTCTCTTGCCGGTGATCCTCTCGAATCTGGCCAACAGCTCGTCGTCTATCCTCGAACTTCCGAATTTCTCTGCGAAGGGAAAGAGAAGGGCTGGCTCACCAGAACAAAAGCAGAGGAGTGATCTACGGTGTGCTCAGAATATAACCTACAAATGCCCCGCGCACCCAAAAAATTTTATACTCGTTCATCGCGTGAACCGCGAGGACGGCCGATTCGGCGTCGTAAACTGCCTCGCGCGCGAGGCGCGACTTACTTATCAACTTGTCATAATCGATCCCGGTGTCGCTGACACTCGTCACCGTCCACGGCGTCACGACGTCCTCGTCCTCGGCGACGCCGTTCAGCGCGTGCTCCTCCACCTGCGCGACCCCCGTCGTCATGGTCTACCTCGTCGACGTTCCCTGCCCTCAGATTTCAAATGCGGTCGCGCGAAGATTCGCGTGGGCGACCCGACTCATTTGCGGCAACAGCTGCGGGAGCGCACCGTCGCGGTCAGTTTGCGCCCCTCGAGAGGTTATGTTCGTCACTCCGCCAAGGCCAAGCAGAGGCGACCACCGTTTACCTGATGCGCACGCAGGACGAACCGTGCCATTTCACCATAACTGTCGGGATGACGCAATCGCTGGCGTCGATTTCGCTCTTTCTTCGCGGCGGCCGAGCCCGCGAGGATCGCGCGATCACGCTGATCACGCATCGCCGACGGTCCGCGGCGAGCCGCGACTTTTATCTCCTGTCATCGCTCGTTTTTATCTACGCGCCCGCGAGCGCAGGATCCCGCGACTCGCGTCGCGGCCGCGCGACCGTTTCATCATTTTGCGCAAGCATAGCTTTCCTGCCGCGGGCATTTCCCCGGGCGATCGCTAGAAAACGATCGGAACGATGCGTCATCGTCCTGTCACGTTTTTGACGTCATTACATTTCCGTGAAAAACTTCCCGTGGAAGTATCGCAGCGGAACCTCGTTGGCAGCTTGCACGTGTCGCGAGCCGCTAGCGACACCTAGGACGCTACTAACTTCACCCTGCAACTACTGGGTGTAGAGAAAAACCTGAGAGCGGCCACCGAAAGTCTACAAGCTCACAGAACAGACGCGCCCCCTGACAAATAACGGTACACAAGCTGTGGTTCATGCTCATGTCCAAACTTTTCAGATGCATATATGAGATAAACAAGTAAATCAATCTATTGTTCTAAATAATACAAAGTCAGAACGATTGAAGTAACAATTAGGGCCAATTTCACGAACGTTGGTTAACCGTTAACGAGAGTTCAGTCAACTTCCTATTTTTTTCCATCTTGTTCTCCAAGATCTCAAATGAAACAAAGACTTGTAATAGCAAGACGAATATATTAAGAGTAATAACTTACAAAGGTACATTTATCGGTAAAGTAAGGTAATACATAAAAATAGTTTGCGGGTTAGAAAAATAGTTACATTGTCGCTCTCGGTTAGAACTGTATCCTCGACTACTTTATCTCTCGACTACTTCCACAGGTATCACGTTGCAACCCAGGAGACCCTTGCCGACCCAAGGACGCGGGGTTAATAACAGAACTATAACGTTTGAGCCGCGTCTGATCTTTACGTTGACCGTCTTGTATCTACTGTTCTCCACTAGCTTTCCGATGTCCGTCAAAGATTTGAAATTTCGGTAGTGAACAGATCCAAACTCCAATATCAGATCCTCGACCTGTATGCCCTGCAACAGAGAGAGACAGCGGTAGCTCTTACTTCTCGTGTCCGGCTAAGCAAGATGAGAAAATCACTTGTGCACAGATACACGCGACAGTAGAATTCAATCATGGTCTATTCAGACAAACTTGCATAAGTACATAAGCATACGCATAAAGAAGTTGATTTATCAATTTCCTTATGCACGCACTTGTGGCCCAATCAGATTCCTGACGCGTATGTTTACGCAAGTTTATCTAGACAGACCCTTAGAATCAGATTGCAAAGGAGCGCCGAGGCTAACGCGTACCGCAGTCTCCGCCGGCGAGCCAGGCGAGACCAGATTCACCCTGAGGAAAGGCTCCAGCGACTCCACCTCCGCCTCCTGATTGTCGGGTACATCGGGCAGCAGCTGCCCGGCGATACTCGATCCCACCAGTGCGTGGACTCTGTGCAATCCCTCCTCTATCTTCCTCATCAGGTCCTTGTGATCGTTCGTGAGACCTGCGTAAGGCGACAGCATATTATTACGAAAAAATGCATACACGTACGTGGAGGCAGCCGCTGTGGCACGTATTTACGCACATATTATTTTGTGCCTGGTGTGTCTCGCTTGGTAGACGTCGATGTCCTGCCGGGGATAGCCCTCGGAGTCCACCAGCGGCTCGTCCGTGCCGACGTGATTCTGCAATCGCGCGAAGAATGTAGGTACGCGGCTTTCAAAAATCTGACAGATCATGCTGCATCGAACCGAGGTCGGTATTCCGCGGCGGCGGCGACGTCACTCCCGCCGCTACGGTGTAAAACTATGGGCGATACGTACGGAATCTAAGACCTCCTTTAGGGCCCGCAGATCGGATTCGATCCTGTCTTTCTCCTTCATCAGTTGAAGGACGGTATCCTTTGCTTCCTGCAGCTCCATGTCGACCACCATTTTCGTTTTGGTCGCGCAGACGCGCAGCGCCCGATCGCGGAGCGCGTCGGCGGGTACGTGCGCGCGCGTCCTCGGGCCCCGCGTCAATTGTACCGGTTTTCACGAATTTTAGAGTTGTAACGAAAGTGGTTATAACGAAAGCGAATGCGAAAGTGAAAGAAAACATATCTTTTTGCGAAAGCGAAAGCGAATGCGAATGCGAAAGATCTTGTTTCTCTCTACTGAATGATATAATTGAAGTTAGGAAAAAATGTTATCTAATTAATAATCTAATAATAATTAAAAAATATTTCTAATTCAAATTATTGAATGAGAAATGCAAATTATTTATTTTAATTATAATCATATAAAATACATTATTGCAATGTAACACAGAACAGGAACGGAGATATATCACTTTCTAATAAAACAAAATAAACATTTTCTATCATTTCAGAATAAAATAAAGCTCTAAAATATTGTAGGTTAGGTTAGAGTTCTACGTGCGGGCCGGACAAAATCTTTCGCTAAAACTTTCGCATAATTAGTTGCGAAAGCGAAAGCGAAAGCAAGAGTCTAAAATGATGCGAAAGTCTCGCTTTCGCATATGCGAAAGCGAATATTCGTTACAACCCTAATTTTTATATACACGTGTGTATACTTATATTCTGCACATCGTTTCATTCGTGTATTATCATATGTTATTTTACGCAACGCGATCGTCTCGTACGCGAGTTATCAACATTTATCAATCGCGTTTAAGCAATTGCCGCGATAATCACATGGTTGATTTCTACGGTGATTCGTCGAGACGAGTCACGCGTAATTTGAAAAGAAAACGCGATAAGGGGATTACACATACAAATTATTAGTCAGTTCCGATACGTACGTACACGTCCAAAAGCGATAATACATTTTTTAGCAATCAAACTCGGATGAAGACACTTTTCAAATTGTCGCGCGGTAAAGGCTGGCAACGTTGCGCGGCAAACTTCTCGCCCATTCGTTGCGCGACGGGGATGGCCGCGCTTTGTCGAACTCCGCCGACGGACCGCACGCGACTCTGACGCGGACTCCGGGGGGAAAAAAAAAAGAAGACGTACGAAGCGCAGCGCGGTATCCGATCGTCGGGTCGTCCCGACCTCGTCCAGAGTACGATTCCCCGAGCGCCGAGGCGGTTCCCTCGACTCCCGGGTGGCGCGTGGCGTGCGTGGCGAATCTTGCCAACTATTTCCGGCGGGGCACGCCGACCGCAAGGTGACGTTTGCTGCTGACCGAGAGGTGTGAGTCGTGCTGCCGGAGAGAACTGTCGAGGGGCGAGAGGGCGAAGAGTCCGTTGCACACGTCAGGCTGACGAAACCCGAGGCGGACCTACGCAGTTCGCTTTGTGTCCCGGCTCGCCCGTTCCGGATCCTCGCCGCGGAGCAGCGCAAGGCAACGGGAGAGCTCCGTCTCCCTCGGCTCCCCTCGCAGGTGTTCCGCGCGTAGTGTCGGCGCCCGCGCCTCCCCGCGAAAGATGGGTCTGACGATCAGCAGCCTGCTCACCCGGCTGTTCGGTAAGAAGCAGATGCGGATACTGATGGTGGGCCTGGACGCCGCCGGCAAGACCACCATACTCTACAAGCTCAAGCTCGGCGAGATCGTCACGACGATACCCACGATCGGCTTCAACGTCGAGACGGTCGAGTACAGGAATATCTGCTTCACCGTGTGGGACGTGGGCGGCCAGGACAAGATCCGGCCGCTCTGGAGGCACTACTTCCAGAACACCCAGGGCCTCATCTACGTGGTGGACAGCAACGACCGCGAGCGCATCAGCGAGGCGGAGCGCGAGCTGGCGAACATGCTCAAGGAGGACGAGCTGCGGGACGCGGTGCTGCTGGTGTTTGCCAACAAGCAGGACCTGCCTAACGCCATGTCCGCCGCCGAGCTCACCGACAAGCTGGGCCTCAACTCGCTACGGGGACGCCACTGGTACATCCAGAGCACCTGCGCCACGCAGGGCCACGGCCTCTACGAGGGCCTCGACTGGCTGAGCAACGAACTGGCCAAAAAGTGATAGCGCACCCTCATCGCATCCGGCACTCTCGAGGACCAGCACTCATTCGTCGAGTACGGACGTGGGCTCACCCGGCAGCTTCCACCTTTGTCAAATTGTTATCGATCTAATGTCTATCGCGTACGTTTTAACAGCCGCCGCGTTCACAAATTGCTTACAGATATCGAAATGCAGGGATCGAGGGATATAGATGACTCGGTGGTCACCGCACGCGGACGATGCTCCGGGAGCGAGACTTGTTTCACTAAAGGATCGCGATACGGATGGTCCTTGCGTTGCTAAGAGTATACATACGTTGTACATAGTCCTAAGTTCTTTCACACATACCTGTCATTTGCCAAGCGATTTCTAATTTTGCCCTTTGATGCGCCGAGTGACCAGGTCGCCGTCTCCATCAGTCAATTTTCAACCGTGTGCGTGGAAGAGATTTAGGCTGACGATAGAGAACGATCCGTAAACGCTTAAGACTGTCTTGGGTCCGGTTTCTCCAACGTCGCTTTAATCTTGGCTTAAACTCTGTCTTTGTCTCTTTCGAACTGTTATTTTGGAAAGAGACAGACGTGAATTAAACCAAGATTAACGTTGAGCGAATTTTGGTGAAACCGGACCTTAGTCGCAGACGCGAGGCAAGGCAGAGAAGAACGTAAGTCATATACAATAGCCTTTCACGACCTACGTTTGTCCCTGCCTTGCCTCACGTCTACGACCGAGACAGTCTTAAGCGGTCTCTGCCACCAGCCTTATTTATATTTATAAAAAAAACGAAGCCGTCGGGTTATCACAATGCGTTTTCTACTTTGATCCGTGTCCCCGTGCTACTCACGAAGAATGATATGCGATGTATTATGTGATGTTACACACACACACACAGGTCGTTTGCACTTTCCTGTTCTTCTAGGTGTAAGCAAATCTTTGAGATAAGTAATTGCTAACTTGCATAAGGCTTTACAGATAAGTAAACGAGTAACTTTAATGCTGCGAAAGGAAATTAAACTTAAATGAGGTTCACGAACCGCGATTTTCCTTTTTAATAAAGATAGGCATATAAATTGTAAGGGATATGTTTAGAAAACCATTGTCACAATAAATCCTAAACATACATAGAAAAATAATACGCATAAACGTCGAACAATTTTTGGCACCTCACGAAGTCACGACAGAACGGGAGAAAGAAATTGAACTGGACGAGAGGGGGGGGGGGGATAGTGCTAGTTGTCGGTCGCTCATCAAAATCATGTATTGTCGTGTTAACTAAATGTACAACTTTGTTACGGTACAAAACAGTACGGTAATGCTACGAGTACTGTATAATGTATAACGTATCAAACGGTTTGTTAAAGTATGGTGTTACTCTTTTTTTTTTCGCACATAGCACAGCAATCGCTATTCCGTCTCTATCTCGAGAGGCATCGCAAATAAATTATAGGAAGGAACGCTTCTATTTACGAATCTTATGTACACGGTCATAAAATACAGCGGTGGAAGTGGGTAATCGTTGAAACCACCACGTGCGCGACACGATTATACATTAACACACGCATACGTCCGCCCTTTAACTTGTAACACTTTTTTTTTCTCTTGCATTCGGTACAAGACCCTACTTTTCGTAGTTTATCATAGAAAAAAATATTTCACGTCCTCTTTATCGCGCGCCGGTTCTTCGTTAGCGTTACATCATTGATACAACCGTCTGTTAAAGCTCTCTAAGGTATATATTACATACAATATCCTTTTTCTCTTAATCCCGGTCGGTGTTGCCTCGCAACTCGCTCAACAGGTGTCAATTCTATTGCGAATGGTCAACGCTAGTTTTACGCATATGCTTTTTTTTTTCTTTTACACTAAGGATCGATTGACTCTTGGAATAAATATTACGTATTACGCTCGTGCTATACGTGTCGGATAAACGCAACGCAGACTCGACCTCGGTACGGCGGTATAAAAACGGGAGCGTTATATGTACAACCGTTTGCAACAGTTGGGCGAGCGGATGCTCGGCTCGCCCCGGGGCCTCCGGAACGGCGGGCACGACGACGATCGATGAGGGAGGGGTAATTGACTCATTTACGTACCCACGTGTTCTTCGGCGGCGGCGTGTTGCTCTTGCCCAACGCCGGGAAGTGGTTCTCGAGGGTGTGGCTGGACATGTGCGTCCGAAAGTCCGAGCCACTCTTGAGAACCTGGCCACACGTGGCGCACATCTCCAGCCCCCTCGCCTTGCCGCCCGCCTCCCTCTTGTGCACCTTGAACAGCTCCTGCTGCTTCGCGACGTCCGGCAGCAGCGCCAGGAGCTCGGGGAACACGCTCTCGAAAGCGTTGGCGCCCATGACCTCGCGACAGTGCGTGTAATACTCCTGGGCGTCGCAGGTGCCGGCGCGAAAGAGGCCGCTCACGTAGCGGAACTCCTCGATCTTGTCCTGCTCGACGAGGACCGCGTTGAGCTTCGCCACCAGGCACGTGTTGCGCTTCTGGAAATCGGGCGGCGAGACGTAGGCGTGAGCCGCCGCGCGCTTGCCGCTGTTGTCCGGCAGAATCGAGTAGCTCTCGCCGGAGCTGTTCGTGAACGTCAGGCCGTTGCCGCCGTGCAGTCCGTCCATGCTGTTGTACTTGATGGAGAAACCGGGCGGCGGTAGGGTCGGCGAGGCGAAGCCGGGCGGCGGGTTCGTGAAGCCTGGCGGCCTGCTGCTCGTGTTACCCAGCGCGGGAAAGTCCTCCGTCCGCTGGACGTTGTTGTTGGTCGTGTTCAGGCTGTCTATCTTCAGCTCGCTGCGCTTTCTCTGCTTCTCCCCGTTCGCGGAGCCGTTGCCTCCGCTTCTGGACCCGGTATTTATGACGGTCGTCGCGATCCCCAAACTTCCTTCCGCGTTGCTCTTGTTTTTCCTCTTGTCCTTCTTGCTCGCGTGCTCCGGCTCCTTGGAGTTTCTGGACACGTTGTTGGTATCCTGCGTGGCTCGCGAGACCTCCTTCGAAGTGACGCGAGCGTTGCCCGAGTCACCGGCCAGTTTGATGTCCCTCTTGGTTACAACTGTATTTACATTCGATTTGGAGCCGCTGGACTCGTTACCGCTCGAACTGTTGCCGCTTGAAGCCTGCTTCGTTTTTTTCTTCTTCGTCTTGCCCTTCGTCTGGTCCGTCGTTTTCGCGTTGTTGCTAGCGCTGGAACCCTGGACGTTGCTGGCGTTCTGTCCCCACGACGGCACTACCGTGATTACAGATTGCTTTTTCGACTTGGACGACTTGGACAGGCTCGGAAAGTCCTCGCCGGATCGAATGGGCGGCGCCGACGGTATCGAGGGCGGCGGCGCGACTTTCTTAGACTTGGGCGCGTTCGCCGGGGCCGATTTGGAGCAGGTCCACTGCAGGACTTCCTTCCACTGAGTCGAATTGGCAGTACTGGTAGACGGCTCGGAGCTGCCCAGGGCGGGGAAATCGGAATCTATCGACAGCTGCGCGGGGCGTATCCTGATGTTTGGCCCAGACACCCTGGTGGTGACGGTGCCGTTGGGTTCGTGGTTCACCTGAATGGAGACGTTCGAAGACGCGGTGCCCTTCTGGCACTGCGGCAAACCGCTGGAGCCCGTGGCGTTGCTGCTGCTGCTGCTGGAAACGCTAAAGTTGACAGTTTTCGAGATACCGGGCCCGGACGAGTCCGGGCCTAACGCAGGAAAGTTCTCGTCCGTTACCGCGAGCGGTTGATTCCTCACGGTGCTGCGAATCGTCACGTTGCCTCTGCTCTTGGGCTGAGGTAAGGTGGGTACGGCGCTACCGCCCAACGTGGGAAACTCGTCCGTGCTTTGAACGTCGACGGACGGCTGCCGCACGAAGGTGGGCTCGTTGCTGGACGCGAACGAATTGGAGCCGCTGGGCGTCGGGCCCTGCTGGTAATCCCTGGAACCGTAATCCCTGCTGTTGTAATCCCTCGCGCTCCTCGACGTGGACGCGCCCAGCATACCCCTCCTGTTCATTCGATTCTCGCCGCGCGGCGCCAAGGTGAACTCCAGCTCTAACGTTCTCGCCTGCTTGGCGGCGGCTTTGCTCAACTGCTTACCGTGGACGCTGGCCTTGTGCGCCTTGAGATCAATGTCAGTCCGAAAAACACTCGTAAACTTCTCCTCCGCGCACACCCCCTCCTCGCACAGGTAGTGCTCCTGCCGGAAGTGGTCTCTGAGATAGTCGTAGGAGCTGTAATACTGATGCAGACCGTCCGCGTCGCAGAAGTGACAGTACAGATGGTCGCGCCTCAGATGCCGGTACAGCTCGTCGTTGTCCATGTACCGCTGGTCGCAAAACTCGCAGAGGGGATGGCCCTTGTGGCTCTTGTCGTCGACGTCACCTTTCCTCCGGTGCGTGGCTAAACTCGATCTCGTGTAACAGCGTCTTTCGTGCGAAAATATCTGTGGGAAGCGAACGACCAGTTAGAATAGTCACGCGAGATCGTCGAGTCGATCGACGCCCCAAACGCAGCCCCTACCTTCAAGTTCTCTACGCACAAGTCACAGTAATGCAGCTCGTGTCGGTGTCGCATGTGCTCTTTTAAACTATTGAAACTGCTAAAGACCATCTTCTCCTTACATATCGAGCAGGTGTTGGCCAGCAGCTCCGTGAACTTTTCCTGAATGTCCAGGCTACTGAAGTAGATGTCGTACCGGGTGTCCAGTAGATTGGTGCCGGTCAGGCCGTGGAAGGGTTTGATCTCCCGCGTGAACACAACCTTGGGCAGATCCTGGCGGCAGATCGGGCACTCGTTCTGCCGACAGAGCACCCTCATCCGTGTGCTGCACTCGTAACACACGGGATGCTCGCACATGCCGACACTGTAGATGTCGACATTCTTGTAGCACACCACGCAGGTGTTATTGTTAAAGCTGTCACTGCTCCCGGACATCCTAGCGGCAGGAACTAAGCTCTCCCTCCTTGTCACGCAGTATCGCTGGCTGAGGTATCTCGTTCGACCGAGATCCAAGACTTTTCCCTGCGAACGGCTGCTTTTCACCGACAGGTCTCTCCGCGGCACACAAACTCCTAAAACAGAACACAACGTTAAGGACGGTGCGCTCGCAAGAGGAAGGAAGGAGAGGGAGAAGGGGGAGACAGGAAAAAAAACAGAGAGGCGGGGGGCTATCATCCGCACGGTCAGTCAGACGTGGTCGCACACGTATCGGCCCGCGGTCGACGTCACGCGACGAAATCCTCGAAAATATCCGAACTGGCCGCGAGTCCTCCTGCGCCGGGACTCGTCGGACTTGCTGGACGCGGTTCCTCCGAAAATAGATAACGGCCTCGGAATTGGCAGCGGTTTCAGCAGATGGCAGAATCTCGCTCTCGGCGCGGCCGAGGTTATTGCAAGCGTGAGTTGAGGCTCTCTCGCTCTCTTTCTCTCTCTCTCGTTCTCGGGCGCGAGACAAACGATCGGTAGGGCGTTCTATATCCTCGCGGCCGCGCGGAACGGAAACCCTCGCGCGGAAAGACGATCGTCAGGCGAGAAGAGAGAGCGCGGAAAAAAAGAGGGAATGCGCGAGGGAGACGGAGACAGATGGACTCGACCGACCTCGGTCGAAAAAGGACCCGGGACCGAATGATCCTACCTGCTGCGGCTCCGTACTTGCGGCACGTACGTAACGTGTCGCGCGCCGACGGCGGAAAGCGCGGCGGCCGACGGAGATTGCGTCGCGCGGATCCGGAAGCGGTGCCGTAACGTCGTCCTCGCTTCGGTAATCTCGGTACACACGGCGCATTCGTATTCTCGCGTCACTCGGCGGCGGCGGCGGCGACTGCGGCGGCGGCTGCGGTGACGGCGACGTCGGCGACGGCGGTACGTACCGATCGGCGATATTGGACGGGAGACGCGTCTTCGTCCGAATTGGACGCTGATCGCGACAGCGCGGGAACGCGGTAACGCGGGAACGCTAGTTCCCGGCCGAGAGTCGCCGCGACGAGAAAGAAAAGAAGGACGAAACAAACGCGCGGCAACTTTCTGACTCGTGGCTGCGACGCGGAGTCGCTTTTACCGACGGCCGCGTGGCACTCGCGACATTAGCGCGAGATGGAAATATCGGAATCTGTCGATCGACGGTTGACCGCAGAGACAGTATCGATCGGCGCGGTAGCAGGTGCTATCTGCACGGAGATCTGCGCGACACAAACGCGAAATTGTGATTGCATCATATTTGATCATAACACATACAATATCTTATATCCGGTTCCATGCCGATTAGCCGCTAACCCCGATAAACCCCGGTTTCTTTCCCTGCCGTCGCGTCGTACAGGCCGTTGCGAAATTTACCGTCCTTTCTTTCGATCGCAGACTATTATTGGACGCTCTCCAACGCGGATGTCGAGGTGTCTCGTAATTTTTGAACCGGGGACGATCGCGAAAGAAAGAAAGGAGGAAGAAACAGAAACCAACGTTATTTAGTCGGCGTCAAGCGACTTTCATCTCAACTCGTCATCTCGCTTCGAGGATAGTTGAATGTTAAAAACTTGGCGTTCGGGACATCTCGTCGAGGCTCGAGCCTCGACACGCTTAATTATATCGCGGCAGAAGAAGGAAAAAAAGGGGGAAAAGAAAATTCTTTGCAGAGTCGCGCGCGAGATCGACGAAGAATGTCTCGACTTCCTCCCTGCCGGCGGTTCCCCGTGTCGCAACGCCGGAAGATTGCGCAAGGATTCGAACTACTTTTGCGCGCGCAGGCGCTCGCTCGAGAGATCCTTCGCGGCGCGAGACCGGACGGCTTTGCATGCGATAATGAACGCGTGGTGACGTAAGCAATCCCGTCGCGCGCGCCGAGTCCCTTAATATCCGATCCGAGAAAACGCACAAACAATTATTTATCGATTCAAGGCAGTCCTCTTTCGGTTTTTACGCGCGCCGCGAACTGAGTTGACCGCGCTGAGGCAGTCTTTCTCTCTCTCTCTCTTTCTCCCTTCCTGTGTTTATTAATCGAGAACGTATCTGTCGTGTGACGACACGTGTGCTCGACAGGGCACGAGATAGCGAAGAGCGACAGTGTCGTAACGAGGTGAGCGTGCACTTGCGGCGCTTAACCTATCGATCGCGCAATCGCGACCGCGCGATTTACGGCGCGATCGATAACGATCAACCGTACGTTCGCCGTTGCGGCAAAGGATCTCTTGCGGCCGCTCTTATCGATAAAAGAGGATTCAGAATATGAGCCAAAGAAATGAACATAGTACTCTTGCGTCCCGGTGGATCATTAAAGGGTTAAGGCTGGTTTATGCAAGGTCGTAACCCGTTAACTTATGCCGGAATCGGTAAAAATCAACCAATTACGGTCCACTATTCTCCTGACTTTTAACGGTGAGCCTCGACGAATCTCCCTTAAGCCCATATCAGACTACGGATTGAGATTGGGATTAGATTGAAACTTGACCAATCAGAGTAAAGTTCAATCTCAAAGTTAAACCAATTAGAGTAAAAGTCACTAAATTTGAGATTAGTAAACTTCACTCCGATTGGTCAAATTTCAATCGAGTCTCACGCTGAAAAATGGGACCGTCAACGAAATCACTCATCTCCATGAAAATCTTTCGTCAATCTCGCGAGCCAATGTCTTTATCTCAACATACTTTGCGATCTTTTAATCATCTACAAAATGTTATATTTTTACTTCTCAAGGAGAAGCTTCTCCAGGCTCGCTTCTTAATCGATTGGTCATCTTTCTCTCTCCTCCGGCCACTATCGGTACGAACTGGATTCGTATCTACATGATCAGCAGCACGACAAATCTTGCGCGATACGCGCGATAATGCAGTCGTCTTCTTCCCCCGGTAAAGGAATAATCGCCGTGTTTTGATATAATTCTCCCAATACATCACATAAACTGTATTTCTAATAGCGAATTCGGTTGCTTGCACTAGTGCGCACTGAGTGAACACTTAAGGCTCGTTTACAGTCAATTCTTATATCAAAGGTTCGTCTTAGATATCCCTCGAAACATTTCTGAGCCAGAAAACTGATGTGTAGAGCATCCGTGCGGATAATTTTTTTTAGTAATACTTTTCAACGTGTCTTTAAGACGAGGTGAAACATAAGAATTGACTGTGAACGAGCCTTAGTGTGCACTCAGTGCGCACAAGTGCAAGCAACCGAATTCGCTATGATACATGACAATGCAGCGTTCGCGTTGATCGCGTGAGAAAAGGCAACACCGTCAATACCGTGGAACTGTCGCTCGTTATCGCGAGTTAAACGGAGGAAATCACGGAAAGGCCGCGGACAGCGCTTTGCATTCTCCAGGTAATCTCGGCTTTGTCCGCGAGTGACACACGCTCGTTTACGTCGTCTAAGGTCACGTGCGTGTTCCGACCTCGCGCGCGCGCGAGCGACGACGGGATCCCGGCATTCCCGGCGCGTTCTCGGGCGATCCGCGAAACGGGCCAGTTTGTCGTCGTGAGGCGCACGCGATCATCGATGCCCCGAGGTGGTTCTCGTGCCGCGGAAACGATGTCCCGCGCGCCCGTGTCCTCGTTGACGCTCGGCGGCACGTCCGAAAAAACGTCACGCGGCGCGCGACGCGACGCGACGCCGGCGCCGGCGCGAGCGTGCGCGCCGCGACCGCGCGGCAGTAGATCCGACGCTTTCCGCCCGGGCGGACTTTGACGCGCGTTGTCGCGAGCTGCCAGCGTGTGCGGGCGCATGCGCGCGCGCGAGATCTCGCGTTTACGCGTCCGCGGAGGGAGCCGAGGGAGCCGAGCGAGGCAGGTGGAAGCGGGCCGATTCCGCTCGCGCAAAGAGGCGGCGGAAAGAAGCGGAAGGAATTGCCCTCGCGCCGCCGCCGCCGCCGCGAGAGATTCGTCAGCATGGCGAGCGCGCGCGCGCGCGTCCCCGACACAAACGCACAACAGGTGTCACTTGCGCCGGGCGCCGTCGCTGACTGAGAACGGTGTGCGCGTGGCGAAAACGGACGGGCAACGGGGGGCGCCGCGATCGCCGAGCGGCCCAATCAGGTTAGACCTCTCTTCCTCCCTTTTCTCTCGTTCTCACTCTCCGTCGTCTACTCGTCGACGCAGCGTGGAGCCGGAACGAAGGCCCGACGCACGAAAAAATTTAAGCGGTAAAACTTGAGAGTTGAGGGAAATGGCCAATGGCTGCCGAAAATGCAGGCAGCCATTTTGAAACTTGAGCGGTGCTGAAAATTCCGATTGGTTGAAGTTCTTACATCTTTTGGGTCTCAAGGCCCGGACACACGAACAGACTGAAGCAGCGAAACTTAAGACTTGAGAATTTCACACCAATCGGATTTTTCAGCACTACTTAAGTTTCAAAATGGCCGATTACGTTCTCGACAGTCATTGGTGATTTTAAGTTAAGCCTCAAGTTTTACTGCTTAAGTGTTTTCGTGTGTTCGGGCCTTTGCTGTTCAAGTTTTACATTTTCGGCTTGCCAAGCCGATCGCTGCGATATTAAGGAGGGCGAGAAGAACATGCAGAGTGTCAGAAAGAGTGTGTGTCCCTTTCAAAAGGAACTTCAAGGCACGTTTGAAATGAAACTTGTTGAAATCCGGTTAGAATAACGCCCGGGGACAACACGTTGGATTAGATTACTCCGCTCTCCCGATAGGAGAATCGCGCGATAAGCGATTAATTGGACAGAGATCGATTGCGGCGCGTCGGGTTACTCGGCATTTTATCGGATCCGTCTTTTGAAATATCTCGAGTTCGTTGGAAACGCCTTTGGCTTTCCAGACTTGTCCCGACGCGACGACTATTCAACGGCGGCGACTTAATCCTCTTTGCATGATCGGGATTGCGCACAATAGAAACGCGCAGCTGCGTTTATTGCGCACGCTCGTTCCTCGGTGATTTTTTTAAATAACGAACTGTTCTCCGTTGAATACGCCTCCGAATGGGCGTCGCTTTGTGTCCTGTTCCATGAAAGAATCATCGGACAATATCGCGAATCAGCCTGAAATATAGATATTAGTAAATGCTACCGAGTGAAAACTGACGTTTAAAACTACTTTTGTTGTACTGAGCTTTGCGATTTATACGAACGCATTGTTTTCTCGTATTCACACGCTGCAATATATATTTTTGAAATAGAAGGTTAGTGTCTCTGCTTCATGTTTCGATTGAAACACTAAACTGCCTTTGCTTTCTTGTCGTCGAAAGATTTTCGATAGGGGAATTTCTGAAAGATATTCGAAAGTGGCAAGGTACCGAACGAGATTATCGATAAGCGTGGAAACGGAAGAGCCAAATGCGTGTTCAGATCATCGCCCACGCAATCAGTTCATAGAATTTCGTACAATTATCAGCGTCGTACAATTATCACATAAGTAGGCACAGCCGAGAATTAATCAACGTCTTATCAGTCAGAGAGAACGAACTGGTTGTTTCTCGATTCGAGTTCGCTCAATCCGAATTGAGAACTAGCGCAACGAGGCAAGAATGCGGAGAGGAGGAGCGTGACAACCTACTAATTTGTTCGCGCTCTTTTTATCTAAACCGATTTCTTCGCTCTCTCGTCTTAACGACACCTCGGGGATGATCCGGGGATGAAAGGCGAAACGTTTCGAGTCCAATGTAATACCCGCGAATAAAGCTGTCTCTATAGTCGCGGAAACTGAAATAGTATAGACTATCGCGATATTTTTTTCAATCTAGAACGTTCAATTTTATGGCCGTTACGTTACGTCGCATCTCTAATTTCAGCGCGGTCAGATATTACGTATTCACTGGGAAGCGTTACAAAACTTTCTAGATGAATCGCAAGTCGATTCGTATTTATAACCCGACTATTTCAGGCGTTTTAATTTTAAC